ACTGGACGCCGCCGTAGAACAACAGACCGTGAAGATCGCCGCCTAAGATTATTGGCCTTAAGGGGCCGTTTCTCCACTACCAGGTCCATTGCAAATGAATGGTTTGCAGAACAGGAAGACCTATTGGCCTGCGAAGTGTTTACCGACGAATGAGAAGTTTTGGCTTGTTTTCATACCGGCCACAATGGGTCCTCCCTTGAACTCGAGAACACTGACGTAATCGCCTTGAGTGGTGCAGACAACGGTCACTCTGGGATCAGGAATGAAACAGTATTGTCTTTAGTGACGAGTCTCGATTTTGTTTAGGCATGCACGATGGTCGTGCCAGGGTTAGAAGGCGACGTGGTGAAAGGAGGAATCCACAGTTTTTTGTTGAAAGACATGTTCATCACACTGTTGGAGTTATGGTTTGGGGTGCTATAGCTTATGGTTCCAGGTCACCTTTAATCTTCATCAGAGGTAACATGAACGCGCAGCGTTATATCCACGAAGTTCTAGAACCCCATCTTTTACCCTATCTTGACACCCTGGCAGATCCAACTTTCCAACAAGATAATTCCTGACCACATGTTGCAACCACCACCAAGATCTCCCGACTTATCCCCAATTGAGCACTTGTGGGATATGATGGGTAGGAGATTGCTCAATTTGCAACGTCCTCCTCAGACTCTAGAAGCACCTCGAGAGGAGTTGGTGGTTGCCTGGAATGAGATACCACAGGAGGATATTGACCACCTGATCAGAAGCATGCCTAGACGTGTTGGAGAATGCGTAGCACATCAGGGTGCATCCACACATTATTAAAGGTCAAAGGGCTTTAAAGCAGTGCAATCATTTTAAAATTTTTATCATTTACTTATTATGCTTCATTAAGTACTTATACAAAATTTTATTAAAATAAAACCATTTAAACTGGGTGTTCGGATTTATATGTCACTTAGTATATTTTGATGTTTATTGTATACAAAGCTTAAGGATGTCGGAACGCGTCCAAAATCATTTTATACGTTTTTCGAGTTTCTTCTTATTGTCGGGTGTAGTGTTTTGTTTTATTTTATGAGACATGGAATAAAAGTTAGTACATTTTATTTACATTATATTGTTATTCCAAGACAAAAAGAATCATAAGCTAACTTTAGAAGTTCGTCAAATAACATATACTTAAAATACATAAACATATTGAACGTATTTGTTTTTTGCGTACATATCGGACATCAAATTATGATGATTCGTTTCTAATAAAGTTCGTTCAAACTTTTCACATCACTCATCCTAACATTTCAGGGACTGCTGTTTTTTGCTTCTAAATCTAAGATACGTCCAATTAAAATTTGATTTACTTTTTGATTACAAGGTGCAAATCTCGGTGGCTTTCAAACTCCCTGGCTGCCGCGTGGCTATTAGCGAATTACTATAGAATATACATTTAATACGGAAGGGTCTATCTGAATGCGCAATAAAATATGGGCCATCTGATTTATGATAAGGTTTGACCATTTAAATATGTTCCACGCTAATGATACGATCTTGATATTTGATAAAATTTCATTATGCTGGTAAAATGTTAGGTATAGGTATGAAGAAAACGTTTTCAAACTTTTCTATTTCATTCCCAAAGGATATGACGAATCTGCAGAAGAATAGAAATTAGAGTATAAAGGGAAAACTGTAGCTTTTAGTAGAGATGATAACGAATGTCATTCAGCATCTGGCAATGACCATGCTGACAACTGAAAATAACAATCTTCTCAAGTAAATCCGTCAAGCAATCAAAATGAAAGTGAAAAAACGAGTGTCTCTCTGTGTAATGATGACTGCTCAAGCTGCAGGGTCATGCGTTACTAAAAAGTTTGTCCCAAAGTAATACTAGGTGCGTTATTTGCATAACATGTATAATAAACCATGTGATTTAAGGAATACAACCAGCAAAGAATGATACGGTAGATAGCATGCAGCATTAAAAATTGTTAAAATAAAATAAGTAAGTAAGAGTTTAGAAAAAAAATCCTAATTTCAACAACAACAACAACAACAACTGGTAGCATTACAACATTTCACAAGTACATACATATCTATTCAAATATAATAAATTTAACAAATTCTGTCAGATCTTATGTGTTTGATAAGTGCTTTCTTGAAATACCCGACTGAGTCGGCGTTTTTTATTTGCTGGGGCAACTTATTGTATTCACATAGACCTTTGCACATTATTGTTTTCAATGTACTCTTCATATTTGTTTTATTTACATGGAAATGAGTACACGTCCTAGTGTTATATGAATGGATCTCATTATTTGGGCGTAGATGATCATCTAAATAATTAGATAATGTTCCCTTCACAATTTTATAAATAAATAGCATTGTTGTTAAATAAAGATGTTGATTCACCGATAACCACTGTAGAGCATCCAGCATATATTCAATTCTTGTGTACCTAGAGCACTGTAAAATTATCCGCATTCCCCTATTTTGAAGTTTTTGTAAGGAGCCTATTTTGTCCTTGCTAAATAAATATAATAAAGATGAACAGTACTGAAAATGAGGTTTTATTATGGTATTGTAAGCCGTAATTCTTGCAAACATTGATAGCCGTTTAGAAACCCTTGAAAAAAAAATAAAGTTTCTTTGAAATTTTCTTAATAATATAGTCACTATGGCTGCTAAAGTTTAGGTTTTTATCCAACATATATCCAAGGTATTTCATTGTATCAACTACATCAAGAACTGTCTTTTCAATTTTAATTTGGATATTAGCAGATACGCCACGTCATGTGTGCAAAGGACCAACATTTTTGAACATAATTAGATCGCTACGATGGCCTTCACTGGCCAGTTTTTTTTTTAACCAAAGCGCACTGGACAAAAGCCTTGAAGACATTAGTTAGAGATCAAGACCTATCCACAGATTTTTTTTCGAAATCTATGTTCCGGCCCTGGAGACCACTTCTTGTCAGTCTACTAAAAAATCCGTTGCTTTCTCCGCTCCAACCAAACCGTAGTCTTTTTCCTTTGACGGTGATGCATAAATGAACCAGATGGGGTTTGTTCAAAATGCGTTTAAAAGAGTCATGGAGGCTATTAGTTCTAAATAGCTTGGTATCGATAACCAAACGTGATTGAACTCAAAAAAATGTGAGGTACAGTTATTAGTTAGCTGTGGTTAGAATAATTGACCTATAATTTGGTACCAACAAGTTTCACTCAAAACCAAATACGTAATGACCTAAGAAATGCACGCAATTATTCCGTGTATATTAAAGGCCTGGTATAACTAATCTTGTTCAAAGACATGAAGCTACAACTTCATGGATCAAGTGAAATGAGTAGACTTCCCTTGTCGGTGAAACGTCAGACATTAGATATTTCTCATGGGGAGAACCGAAGTATGGAACGTTCCTTGATATTTGGTGTTTATACATTTCCGTAGCAGACGACTGGCATTTCACAAAAAAATTATGCATTAATAAAGAGATGGCGATTCCTATAGAACATAAAAAATAGTCATCACTTGATGTGCTCAAAAAAATACTGCATGTTTTCGGTCCATTACATCGGGATGTTGCTTGAAAATAGAACAGGTATATGAAAGCGGTATTGTACTCAATAATTCCATGGACCATAATTTCGACTTATAGAATGCTTAAGTGGGTGCTCAAAAACATAAATGTGGTACGCTCCACCATCACATATATTTTTCAAGGATATTCACATCTGACTGAAAACCAACCTCTGCCCTTACAGGTATTCTAAGGAGAAATTATTGAGACACGATATAACTTATTCTGTCTCATCTTCGGCACGAAATTTCGTGATAGAATTTTGGAGGGCAAGTTTTTCCAATTATCCTTTATAGAAAAAAATAACAACTCTCAGAATAACCTTCTTGAAAGCAAATTGCTGATTCACCGCCAAAATACAAAAACTGAAAAGTATCACATATATGTTCTGGAATTTCCAGATTTTAGATTCGTCAATTATCATGTACGAATTGTTCACAGCAAGGAAACACCGAGTAGCTACTATAAGTTGTCTTCAATCCAACCTGCAGTATGCTGTAGCAGCGTATGGAGGGTGAACTGGGAAGCCCCCAAATCCCGCGAATTACCCGAAGGATAATTTTAAGCCAAATGACCATTTTGTCGTATGTGTTGAAATCTACAATATGCTGATTTCAAGAAATCATGTGAGCTATTCCGAAAACCGTTTTTGGACTTCCTGAGTATTTAGCATATACAGGGTGACTTTGAAGTTGAGTCATTAATTTTCAGATAATGATTGTAGAAGGAAGATAAACCAAAATATGTGTGTAAAAATAAAAAAAATGTTTTACCTTGTTTTATAAAGTATCCTCCCGACAAGTATTTCAGTGCGGATCTGTATTTGATCGTGAGGTCCCCTGTGAGGTCTTAAGTCACCTGATTCACGAGCCCGTTGTACTACATTAACAAAGGCACGAGGGGTTGGTTGCACTCGATTGGGAAACCGATCCGCATAAACATGTGCCATTTTTTATTTCGTTTGAGCCACGCAACAGACACCACTATTCACACGAATTACCGACTGACACTGACTGTATGTATACAACTGAATAAAATAATTGTAAAAACATCGTTCCAAATTCTTTCGCTTTTTTGTTTCCGATGCGATGAACCGATAAGGCGGATTATATCCGTTGTTGCCAAACACGAGCACATGATATTATTATTGAGACAGGGCGGTACTCAAACTTCCAAAGGGCTATAACTTTGTTACTTTAATTTTACCAGAAAAATGGTAAAGGAAAAAACATTTCTTTTGATCAGATCTACTCACTGTTAAAATAAATGACTCAACTTCGAAGTCACCCTGTATATGACTTTGTTTTGAGCACACAAAAAGACGATAATACGAAGTGGGACAGTACTACTTTTTTAAAGGTAACCTTAACTCAAAGCTTTGCTTGCCTGCTTGGAATATTCACTACATCATCTGTCACCTGTAAACTGTAGCCCACCACCAAATCACCTAAAACCACCATCACCACCAGTCGTACCGTTCATGTAAACATGCTGCCTCCACAACTGCTGGTACTGGGTCCATTGCATCCTCTGTTCCTCAGTTTGGGGGTGGTGCTGCTGTTGTGGCTGCGGTTGTTGGGGGTGCTGCAATGTACCTTGCATCACCCCTACAGTCAATTGGGAGGGCGGTACGGCCACCGCGCCCGGAGGCGGCACCACTGGCGCTATCTGGTGATAATCCATATCCTTCAGTTGTACCGGCGGCACCGCGAAACTCATGCTACCGCATGCCGTTGAGCTGTGGCAGCAGCGCTCGGTCGTACTTGCGATACGCGCTTTCGACTGCGACTGGAGCCACGAGCGGTGCCATCAAACAAACGCGAAGGAGACAGTATTGGGGGCGGTGGGGGTTCGCGAAATCAGCAGGAAATTCGCACCGCAGGAAGAGGAGGCCTCTTCTTGCGATTGTTACGTCTTCCTGGTTCGTTAGCTTCCTTGAGACCTTTTACAATGTATGTTTGTAGGTTATGATGCTCCTCGTGGGTTTAAGCTTCGTTTAGGAAGCATGGACCGATTGAGGAAGTTGTTGGTTTCAGACGTTTCATTGGTAGTAAAAAATTGCACTATAAAGGAGGATTGGTAAATACAGGGTTTGCCAAAATACGTGAGCAATCTCTCGGATTCACGTAGAGTACAAGGAAATAGAAAGATGAGTTAGAAAATAGAATAGAAGAACAAAAGTCTCTATAAAGAATTTCGTACACACCTTCTTTGATATGATATAAACGAGATGCTAATAATAATAATAATCATAATAATAATCTATTCCAAATTGTACAATGACATTACAAAAATTGTATAGCCACTACAAAATGAAATGCTGCGTCACTGTCACCATAACTATAGTAGTTTACCTGAGACCTTTTTTTTGTGTTACATGGTTATTTATCTTAAAACAGCTACTATCTTATACTATTACAACTCCCATAGAACACATCTATTGTATAAGGCTCTGACTGTACTAGAAATTGCTTAATAGTCTTTTTAAATTTATGTAAACTGTTCACATAGTAATTTAGTAGAGCCCGTGAAATTTCTTGGAGTGATTATTGATGCAAGCTTAACTTGGGAATCACACATCACCTCTTTATCTAAAATAACATATATGATACGTAGTTTAAATACCTACGTAACAAAATCGACTTTAATGATTGCCTATTATGCTTACTTCCAATCTAACTTGCAATACTGCATACTGATTTGGGGACATTCATGTCATGTACCGACGGTGTTTGCTGTTCAGAGACGATGCTTGAGAATAATAGCAAACTTATATTTCAGATAGTGTTGCAAGACGACATTTATCGACCTAAAAATTTTAACTGTGCCATGCATATACAGGGTGTTCCATAATTATTGCGACAAAATGATAGGGGTTGTAGAGGGCATAAAAATATGCAATTTTGCCTTATAAACCCCTGTTCGTAAATATGCCGTTTGAGCACTACCGCTAATTTTACCTTAAGAGCTCATAGGAGAAACAAAAAATTCACCAGCTGCAAAATGTTCATCTAGCACATTTCATGGTCTCGCCGGTTTGTAAAAAAAGCCTGCTGTGTTCACATTTTTGTTATCGTAAATTCTCCACACCGATTCATTTAAATTATCTGAGTGGTGCGTCAAACTAGATAGTAAATAACAGTACCTTAGTGTTAAAATGCAGCGTTATTCGTTTGCGGAACTTGCGGATATGCATTTAATTTACGAAGAAGCTGGTGGTAACGGAAGACGAGCCTCGCGAATCTACGCCCAACGGTTTCCAGAACGTCCTCATCCGCATCACGCCATTTTTGCAAGGATGCATGGACGTCTTCGTGTCAGTGGCAGCATCAGACACCTCGCGGGAGCAGGGCGGCCCTTCACCAGGCGCACAGTAGAATTTGAGGAAGCGATTCTGCATCATGTAGAGGCCAATCCGCGTACAAGCGTGCGTGCTATTGCACATGATATAGGAGCGTCTCAAACTACTATTTGGCGGGTTCTCCATGACCAGCAACTACACCCATACCACCTTTTAAAAGTCCAAGCCATGGGTCCAGAAGACTATCTGCCGCGTCGACGTTTTTGTCGTTGGTGGCTGCAACAGGTGTTGAGGCAACCAAACTTTGGTCGCTACGTGTTGTTCACTGACGAGTCCTGTTTTACAAAGGACGGTTATTTTAATAGCCGTAACAGTCACGTTTGGGATGAAGAAAACCCTCATGCCATAGCCATCCATAGAGACCAACATCAGTTTTCAATTAAGATCTGGTGCGGTATTGTGGACGAGCATATCATCGGGCCATATTTGCTTCCACCACGTTTGGATGGGCATGCTTATGGTCGATTCTTACAGCATGTGCTACCGAAACTATTAGAAAATGTGCCACTGAACATAAGAGCCAACATGTGGTTTCAACACGATGGCGCTCCAGCCCACTTTTCTTTACAAGTGCGGCAGTATTTGGACGACAAATTTCCAAATAGGTGGATAGGCCGAGGTGGCCCTGTGCCTTGGCCTGCTAAGTCACCCGACCTGACCCCACTGAATTATTTTCTCTGGAGCCATCTGAAAGCTTTAGTGTACGAAACTCCTGTTCCCAACCAACAAGAGCTACTGGGAAGAGTGATGGCCGCGTCCGCACATGTTCAGGACATACCGGGGGTATGCCACAGAGTTCGCCGATCATTGAACAATCGTGCACAGCTGTGTATTGAGCAAGGTGGAGGACACTTTGAGCAATTACTGTAGGTAAGCTGTTTCAAGAAACTGATCTTTTTTTGTTGCTGCAGCCCAAACGGCATATTTCCGAACAGGGGTTTATAAGGCAAAATTGTTCATTTTGATGCCCTCTACAACCCCTATCATTTTGTCGCAATAATTATGGAACACCCTGTATATACTGGAATGTCTGATCCACGTTAAAAATAATTACGATGATTACAGAACTCCGAAAGAGATTCACAAATATAACACAAGGTTCAACAATGAATTAATACCAGAGTACACAAGTCTATCAAAAACTAGTCACGGATGTAATTATTTCGGTGTGAAATTTTTTAATGCGCTGCCCAAGTTTTGTCAAACACCCAACTCAACCATTTTTAAAGCAACTGTGAAAAGATATCTAGTGACGAAAGCTCTTTACAGCATAGATGAGTTTTTAAATAATGATTTTACCGACTTTGTTCCATAATTGTTGACTATTTATTACTTTGTTTTCGTTTGTGTTTTTTTATGTGTTATTTTGTATTATATTTTATCGTTCTCCAGACGTGTGTAAGGACTTTTGAGTACAACATGAAAAAATGATTACTATTTGATAATTTTTTAACCATCTTATTTTATTGTTCATCTAAATTTTAAAATAGTTTTATCAAGTTTTTTTTACCTTTAATTGCCACTTTGTGTTTTATGTTTGTCTTATTTTCGTATTGTTTGTTACTTTTACTTACTCTTTTATGTTCTACTTTAAATGACCTGTGCAAACACATTTTTGTGTAATAGTACCAATAAATTATTATTATTATTATTATGTTTTTACGTTCATTTGGTAGATTGTTAAAAAATTTTAAACACATGTAAATAGGGTTTTTTCTGTGGAGGATAATCTGTGTATTGGATAAGTAACATTGACTGTTCGAGTATCATAAACAGTTTGCACCTCAAGCTCAAATAAAGTTTTATTTTTGAAAAAAAATCTTTAGACACTCATACACATAGATGGCATACACAGTCATGATTTTTTCAGTTTTAAAGACCCCCCTGCAAGTTTCATTGAAGTTTAGTCCCTTTAGCAGACGTACTGCTCTTTTTTGAACAACAAACATTTTTTGAATAAACCTATTGCGTCTCAAAAAATAATCCCATACTTTAGAACACTTTCAAAATTAGCATGGTACAATATTTTCATACTCGTATTATTTAGATATCTTGATATCACCCTAAAACCATAGCAAATGGAATTGAGCCTCTTCAGTAGTTCGAATACATGTGTTGTCCAATCTAAAAATTCATCAATATAGATGCCTAAGAATTTTACACTTTCACTCAACTGCAGTTGATGATTATCTATATCGATATATTGTGGCTTAACGACTTCACTCTGCTTAGTTCTAAATAATGCTGCATCAGTTTTGGATTTATTCAGCACTAGTTTGTTCTCAGAAAAACATGTATTCACACTTCTGAATAAGATATTCCCATTAGCAGTTAGGTCCTCTACACTTGTCCCACCCAACACTAAATTTGTGTCATCAGCATAGCAGATAATTTTATCCTTGCTATGATCACCACTAGTAACAAAACAGAGATCGTTTAAAAAAACTACAAACAAAATGGGCCCAAGTATACTACCCTGTGCTATGCCGGTTGAAGTCAATTCAATGTTTGACTTGTAAGTTTGACCTCCTTTAACAATTTCAACCCTCTGTTGTCTATTATAGAGGTATGACTTGAACAATTCTAGCGCAGTTCCTTTTACACCATATCTTTGTAGCTTTAATAACAATATGTCTCTGTTGATGCAATCATAACCTTTGGACAAGTCTAGGTAGAAACCAACCGCTAAGTTTCCTTCCTCTAATTGCTTAAGTACTGTTTGAACAAATTGAAAGATTGCAGTATCTATTGATCGCCCATGTAGGTAACCATGCTGATGTGTTTTAAATAAATTACAGTCATTCATGAATTCTAATGATGCCGAACTCAAATAATTTTGAAAAACCTGTTAAAATATTGATTGGCCTATAATTTTCCAATTGCTCTGGATTTGCCTTAAATAGCCCATAAATAGTTTGTCAGGTCCGGTTGCCCAGAAGAAGGAAATGGGAGAGCAAGAGGAGGGGGGGAGAATCGTTTAAATATTGCTGAAACTAAAAAATACCACGATTTACTTTTGTTCAAATATTTGGACCTCCTAAGAAATACTTTTGACAACTTCCAGGACTGATCTAAAGTTCAGAATATAAATACAAAATTTGTAGAAATGTTACTGCCATTTTGCTTTCACCGTTTCTCAAGCATGCTCATTGAGAGCACATTAGATATAATAAAACATGCTATACTTACATAATATACGAAAGAATATCTCTTATTGGCATCTTACTTACAACAAAAAGATTATATGAAATCTCCATTTCAAAGCACGTATTTTAGCTAAGTTATTCCACAAATTCCCTGAATAATGGTTTCAATAAGGTGTCCAGTCAAATTTCGCTATATTCGTCCTGTTTTACTGTTAAACCACTGCAATAATCAGAAAATTTCTTAAGACTGCAATTATATAACATTATGCTTTAACTGCTTTTTGGAGGAATCCAATCTCAAAAGAAATTCAATTTATTCTTCATTACATAACATGAATGAAGCCACCAGAAACTTTTCTTTATTTTTTAATTGAAAATAAAAACACGAAAGTACCGCAAGACATTTGGTATCACTTTTCAATACAACCGTATGTA